AAGAAAGCATTATTGTTTCCTAGAAAGTTTCAGAAAGGGCAGGAAGCAGCCTATCAGTGATGTTTCTCGGCGATGTTTCTATCTTTCTATCCCTCTCCCTTCTCAAATCAATAAAAAAAAAAAGAGAAAAGCATTGTTAAGCAAAGGTTTTGTAAAGTAAGGCATTATTTCTGCCCTCCTTTGCGACCTGAAAATTTTATTATAGTAATAAATTTTTGATTATAAAGTTCCTGATGCTGCTCTAAATTCTTTGTAGCACTTGCCACTCGCTGAAATTATCTTGTTTATCTATTTTCTTTCTCTCCATCGCATTTTAAGCTCCGTGAGAACAAGGACCTTATCTGTCTTTATACCACAGTAGCCAGAGCCCAGATGGCTGTGTGCTCAACAGAAACTTGTTAAATGACCACAGCGACACAAGTAATTTACTTTCAGGTCCCCAAGAACTAGTGCACATCCCTAAGATCATGTCAGTACCAAGAAATCGGTAGTTTCAAGGTCACCTATTTCTGAGTGAGAGTAACTGACCCAGCTTTTGTGCCAGGTTAGAGGTTAGACAAGGTTTGAAAATTTGGAAGACGGCTAATTTTCTATGTACTTTTTGAAGCAGTTTTATGAAAGACAAACACTGTAATAAAACCAATCTGACCTCAGGAACCACAGCCCAGTGGTGGGAGGCTGAGCCCCTGGAGAAGAGGCTTGCCTGCTACAATGAGGTATCCGCTCCCTCTACTTTCTTGGCATTTTCCTCTCTGAAACCTATTCCAGGATGATGCACTTTTGAAGCTTCAGCAAAGATCAAAATTTTGACATTATCACTAATTGTGTATGTGACCCCCTATAACTTCTAAAGTACTTCATGACTACTAAAGAGTTTCTGAGTTGTCAGCATATCGGAATTTAATGGAAGAAAAAGTCCAGTCACAACTGCAAACAATCAGGAAACAAGGAAAACATTTTACACACAAAACAACTGAGTACCAACTTCCAATTAAATATCCTAAAGCACCAACTTTTTATTAAGCTACACAATCTCATTACACATCTAAAGTAAATGACTCACTTTTACTTGTCTGTAAACTGTCTAGAAACAGTACTATTTTCAGAGAGGTAGCATTAAAAGAAACAGGGATTAAATAAAACATGATTACAACTAAACATGGTGATAAAATCTGGAATTGAAGACCAATGAAGTTCTAAATCTCTGGTAAATCTGCAAAGCAAAAAATTTCTAATTTTTCAAGTGAGTGTGATTTAAGCAGTAGCTCCAAGTAAAAAAACCATTCATCAGCAAGACTTGCAAACCATCTTGGTAGTTCTTATTTTACAATAAAGACATCACTGCATTCCCAGAAACAAGGCTAAAAGTAAAAACACTTACTCTGCCCAACACTCAAGAAAGGCAGCTTAGCAATGGTTAGATAAATCTGCCAATTGGGGGGGTGGAGGGGGTCTTCTTAGAAGCTGGTGTCCTTTCTGTATTAAACTGGCGAAGTGGCTGGGAAATACTAGCTACTACCTAGAAAGGAAAGGTGTTTCTTCCCCACCACCATCTCCTTATGCGCGCGCGCGCGCCCTCCCTTTTCAGCCTGAAGGCTGAGGCTGTCAGCAGGGCGGGTGGTGGGTGGCGGGTGGCGGGTGCAGGAGCAGCCTTCCCCACTGCAGTGGCCTCTCAGGTGCCAGTGCCCAGACTTCATTCATGGTGAACCACACAACCGGCAGGGGGAGACCCAGGAGGGAAATGCTCTGACCTGGTCTGTAGGGAGCATCCCACCCTCTTCAAAATCCCCAAGTCATTATAGTTGGCGATGTGATGGTATGTGTGAATACTGTACCTCAATAAGCCACAAAACCACCAGCAAGGGGTACCCCAACACGTAACTGATAGTACATCCAAAATGTAAGCTCTCTACTTGCCCCTGAACTCCAAGTAGTCTAGTAAGTTTTCCCTCCTTCTTCCCGTAGCATATTCCTTAGGAGTTTCTCAACTTCCTTTCATTCTGCTCTATGCTGCTCCAAAAAGAATAACTACCTTCTCAATCACTTTCAGGACCCCCCTGCAGAATTAAATATATTTGGTATATATGGCAGTAATAGTGAAGAGTGAGCAGGTAATTTTGTAGAAATCAATTCTCCTGTTCTGATGAAGTACAGGGAGAGGGATTCCTAATTGATCCCCAAGCCAGACTGCTCCAACTGCCCATCACTTTCATACCTCTCTCAGGCCTTCACAACTGAAGTGTGGTCACTCCGGCTCATTTCTTACCAACCTTTACCAGCCTCCTCCTCTCCCCCGTGTCTTGGGCAGAATCTTTCACATCAGAGAATACAAAAATATCCTCTAGATAAGGACACTTAGATAATATCAGATCTGTTCTCAGAGGATGAATACAGCTCTGAGTCCTACTGCACTACCGGTAATTCAAAGCTCACTTCCTTGGCTGGCTGGTCAAGGATGGCAACAAACTCAAAAATCACCTCGGGCTAGCCAACCAGCTGCTGTTCTAAAACCAAACACTAGTTCAGGACACAAAGCCCAATTTCTATGTCAGTCAACAGGTTATAAAAACCCTTTTATTACTTAAAATTACAAATTTCTGCGTATTGCCCAGCATCCAAAAACTGAGCAACAAGTTTTCTACTACCATCACTACCAAGTCTGACTAAAACATTTGCAAGGCAGAAAATGTCAAACCTTTGAAGTACAGAGAAAATTACAAGAAAAAGCCCCAGGAAAAAAACCATGAAGTAACTAGAATCAGAAAAATTAATCAACACGCTAAGTAGGATAAGATGAAAACCTGTGAAATTTACCTTTCCACATGAAGTACAAATACATTAGTGATGACTTCTAGAATAGCTCTAAAACACCAAAATACTGGCAATAACCAAACTGAAACAAATTTAGATGGTAAGAGTATCTATCGTGAGCTGATAAGACATTAAGTCCTCAGGTCTCTGAAATCTGTGTTCAAAGCCTACTCAATAAAAAAAAAAAAAAAAAAAAAACTACACAAAGATCCTTAAAGATACTAGGTGAGTATCCCATTCCTGAAGAGACTCTAAAATATCTTAACTAATGTTTGCATATAAACTGAATTTCACTGTCTTCTGTGATTCTGAAAAGAACTTTAAACATCCATATTTTTTCCTTTTTTTCATATTGTTTTTAAAGTCAAAATCTTCCACATGCTTCCAAAAAATCTTACTGAGTCAGATTTTTAATACATGTAAAAACTGAACTGCATTTCATTATGTGAGATAAGTAGTCCCAGCAATAAATCCCAGCTTTAGATTTGGTAGTCAGTGTCTTTTCACCAGTAAAGTTCTCAGGTTCTGCTGTGCTCCCTAGTCACTTACTTGAACATCACCTCGGGTAAATCAAAACAAAGCCGCAATGAAGAGGTCTGGCCTCCAAGGGAGTCTACATGGAAAAGGACTCACAGGTGCCTTGAAATTGCTTTAAGCAACACTACATTTCCAAACTTCCACTCCACGTGGTCACATGCCCTGTTTTGGGGAGTCAGGTAGAAAAACAAAATCTAGCCCTTGCTCGGTTTGGCTCAGTGAAGAGCACTGGCCCCTCAGAATGGGCTGGAGAGTTCTGGGTGCCAGTGTGCTGAAGGCAACCAATGTGTCTCTCACATCAGTACTCCTCTGTCACTCCCTCTCCCTCCCACTGTCTTTAAAAATCAATGGAAAAATATCCTTGGTGAGGATTAACAACAAAAAAGAGAAAGACCTATTAAGCTCACAATGACTGTTTTTACTTTAAATTAATCTATTTTATAATACAAAATAATTGACCTGAATTTACTTTAAAAACTACTTGTGATGAAATACCTTCACTTTTTGAGTATTTTCACTCAAAGTTCTCATTTCTAACAGATGTAGTGGAATTCACATAACTGTTCCATCAGTAATAGGACCAAGTGATCTGATACAATCTTTAGCTTGCTCAATATCCTATTTAATCCCAGGTTTAACTAAAGCAATGATATCCTAACAGACACACTGAGTTAGTGAAAGAAAAATATCCAGTTAAAGCTATGGAGTACTACTAGTCATATTGGAATACCACCGATTCACAAACAAATCCCTGATGAGATGAGACTTTGGGCAAATCAAAGCTGTCTTCAAGGACTTACCAGAAACTAACTCATTCTGTCTCGCTTTCACACACCTATCCCAATATCTGCATGTTATGTGACATCAAGAATAGTTTAACTTCAAACTTTAACATAGGTGAAAGAAATTCAAGATGTAAGTCAAAAGATGACTGGCAGGCTACAAAACCACTCTGACCCCAGCGCATCCACATGTTACCGCTTTGATGCCAGATGCTGTCACCAATAACAAGAAATTCTTTCAGCGCTTTTCATTATCATAAAGTTTTAACCACCAACTTCAATATGGTCATACAATTCACTTCACCGTTTTTTGCAAAATTGTCTTCCATCGGCGCTCTGCGCCAAGATCAGGCAAAAACACACCAAAGGACAGCTAGGCTTTCAAAAAAAAAAAAAAAAGCACTTTCTTTATCAAAGCTCAATCTTTATTTTCAAGCGCACAAAAATAACATACATTTGCAGCTCAAGACAGGAAAAGCACAACCATGTTACTGTATAACCACCACTAAATTTCTCAAAGAGGAAAATAATTCGAGGCAGGCAAATTAAAAACATTCTGCGAAGGCAAAATTAAAAGCTCTTGTCCTACAATCCACAGCAGCCCTGCTTCCTCTCCTGAGGGAGCCAACACCGCTGAGCCAATGGGCACAGGTGTAAAGTAAACTCATGTCTGTGTGAATAAGACAAAACCATAGATCATTGATTCAACATGAGACTTTGCAGCCAAAGCGAAATACAACCAAAACCACACATCACCTACCCGCCGATGGCAGAACCCAATCAACAAGTTGGAAGGAGGGCAGCACGCGGAGCTCACGGCCCTCTCCTCCGCTTAAAACAAAGTCCTAACAAAAGGCGCAGACCCGGTACCTGGTGGAGGTGCCTTTCCTCACGTCACAGATGCTGCACTTGAAGGCTTCCGCGCTGTTCCTGAAGGTGCAGACGCTACAATCCCAAAAGCCTTCGTCCGCCGCGGGTTTCGCTTGTCTTTTCGGCCTGCAGAGGAGCGGGGAGCGGGGCGAGGGGCGAGGGGCGGGAGGGCAGGAAGGGGGAGACAGCAATCACAGGCGCCGGTGAGACGCGGTAATTTCGCAGGAACCCTGGGCTGGAAACTTCGCTCCGGCGACCACCCACCCATCCTTTTCCGGAACCAGAAGGGGGACGCGGCCCCGCCGGCGCCCGGCAGCCTCCGGGCCGCGTGGCCTCCCGCGGCGGCGGCGGCTCCGGAGCTGGGCCGCGGCCGCGCAGGAAGCCGGCGGACTCGGCGCCCCGAGCGAGGGGCCGGGGCCGGGGCCGGGGCCGGCGGGGCGGCGGCCGGACGGGCGCAGGCAGCCCCCCTCGCCCGGCCCGCCCCCTCCCGCCCACCTGGTTAAATCTCCCTTTGTCTGGGCGGAGCGGCGGCGGAGGCCGGGAGGAGCCGCCATGGCTGCGGCGCGCACGGCCGCCGGCCCGAGCGCGGCGACGCCGCCCCCGCCCCCATCTCCATCTTAGCGGCGCCTCCCCCGCCCGGGGGCTCCGGCCTAGCCGCCCGCCGGCCCCCGCCCGCCGCCGCCCTCCCCTTCCGCCCGGCCGGGGCAGGTACCTGGTCGGGCTCTTCTTGTCGCCCATGGTCATGGACAGGCTGGACCGCCGCCCCGAAGCCGAACCCGGCGCGCCTCGGCGGAGAAACGCCGTCCGGGGAGTCGTCGCCGACCGACCCCCCCTCCTCCCCGCGCGCACCGCCCTCAGCCGCTGCGGCTCGAGCTCCAGCCGCCGCCGCCGCCGCCAGTCTCCGGCCGAGACTAGTCCCTGCCGGCGCCGCCTCCGCGAGTGACTGACGAGGGGCGGGGCCTGGCGCGCGCGTCACGCCCGCGCGGCCAATGGGAAGCCGCGGCCTGCGCCGCGGGGCGGGCGGACGTGGGCCGGCCGGCGGGTGCGTGCGCTGCCTGCGCTCCGGGGCGCGCGTGCCAGCCGGCGGCCCCGCGGCCCCGCGGAGCGGGCGTGCCCGGCGGGCGCCCGTGGCCGCGCCCGGAGCCCGCGGCGGGCTGGGAGCCGCGCCCGGTCGCCCAGTGCAGCCGTCCTTGACCCGCAGCCCCCACCGCGCCCCGGGAGGTAGTTCCACGCGGGGGCTTGCAAGAGCCCCGCCGCGAGCAACGCATCGAGGCTGGCGGAGCCCCGGAGCCGGCGGGCCTCTGTGGCCTGGGTCCGCCCGCGCCCTGCGCTCCTCTGCCACGCAGAGCGCCCCTGCTCCCCCAGCCCACCTCCAGCCCCACACCCCGCGGGCCCTGGCGCTGGGGCGGGGGCTGCAGAGGGCGTGGCGCAAACCGCTCCCCCGGGCCGGCTCGGCCGCCGCGCACCGACTCCCTCCGGGCCGCCCCGAGCCTAACAGGGCGTCTCCCTAAGGAAGTGGCTGCTGGAATCCTGGCAGCCACGTGCCAGCAGTCACACCTGGGGCCTCAGCTCCTTTATCCAAAACGAGGCTAACTCCCTCCTCCTGGGATGTTCGGGAAACTCAGAGCCTTGTGCACGACGAGCACGCGGGTCAGCACCTGGCCCCTGGGCAGGACCGCACCAAACCCGGGGGACGGCTACCTAACGGCCTGGGCTGTGCCGCTCCCGCCGCAGCCCTCAGCGCCCAGGGCTCCGCCGCTGGAAGGAAGGCGGCCGCCAAACTGAAGGGACCTCTGCCCTCAGGCACGCAGTCCTGGCGGGGGAGGATCCAGTGATAAGATAAGGCTGGGCGGGCTGAAGCGCTGGTGGGGTGGGACGGAGTTGAGAATGCGGCCAGAGGTGGGGGATGTCGCTGGCACCCACTGTGACAGGCCCCATCCACGTGTCAACAGAAGTGGGAAGGGAAGTACACTGAGGCCAGGGAACAGGAAGTGCTAGGCTTAGTCCCGGGATCCAACTGGAGAAGGAAAGAGGGAAGGAATGTGCCAACTGAAGCTCAGTCAGCACATGCTGTCCTTTCCAGGCAGGCCCGGGGGGCAGCGCTGTGCAGGAGGGCAGCGCCCCTCAGGCCACTCTGCCACCTGCTTCCCAGACAGGAAAGGAGGCAGTGGAGGAGGGAGGCAGGGAGCCAAGGGCTCAAGGGGACAGAGAAAGCCACAGCATGCACACTAGCCTGGCCCTGCGCCCGCAGCCTTGTCCTCTCGGGTCAGCCCAGCACTATTCCAGGACCCCAGCGCTGGGGTGACGGTGCTGAGAGGAAATGGGCGGTAAAGTCCCAGCTGCAGAAGGGCCTCTGGGGAGGAGAACTGGGGAGCTGGGAGCCACAGGTGAAGGAAGGAGACTTCCTTTGTTAGTGTTGTTATTATTAATGTGGAGTAAAATGCACAAATCATTTTGCAGCCCTGTGACTTAATAGATGATAAACACTAAGCCTTGGTATCCACCTTCCAGATCAAGACAGAATATTTTCACCCTTTCATCCTTTCCCTCCAGAAAACCACTATTTCAACTTTGGTCAACGAAGACTCGCTCTCCGGTTTTTGGCTGTCATGTACCGGGGCTTATGGTATGCACCCATATGTCTAGTACCTTTTCTCAACGTAATAGTTACGGCATTTATCCATATTGTTGCCTATATCAATAGTTCAATTTTGTTTGCTTGCATACGTGTGTAGAATTTCACTACAAATACAACGTAATTTGATGTCACCCATAGGAGACTGACTTTTTTAGTGTTGTTTTTTGTTTTGTGTGTATGCTTGTATTTTAAGCTATTTTACCTTTCAAAAAAAATACATAGTTTTAAACATGCTTTAAGGGGGGAAAGAGAGTCCCAGTACAGAGAACTAATTTCTAGAACACATCAGACCCAGCCTCGCCGTGTGGCTGGAGCTGTAGAGGCTCTCGTCATTCACGCCCCTGAAAGGCGCCTTGTAGTGACTGAGCCACCGGACTCCTCGGACTCCTCGAGGCAGGCGCTGGGGTGGCTGGTGGGCAGGGAAGCCTGAGGGCAGACAAACTCCCTCTGCAGTGTGGCCGTGACCCATCCCAGTGTGAGGTGTGGTGAGGAGCCAGCCCCTCCCCTGCCCCTGTTTCCTATCTGGAACTTGGAGTTCATGTTTCACTTAAAGAAAGGGTTCTACGGCTGTAAAGATTGTTTGAAACCCATGGCGTCAGAGTAGATGTTGGTTAGAAGCATCTCCGGTAAGTGATGCCACGGATCATGGCAGAGTAAAGACCACCTTCGGCCTCCAGGTCCCTCCAGCCCAGTCACCCTTTGCCGTTCCTGGAACTGCCACCCTCCCACTAGGGCTTCGCACTGCTGCTCTGCCCCCAGATAACCACACTTCCTCCTGCCTCCCTTCCTTCAGGTCTCTGCCCCAAAGGCAGGTTTTCAGTGAGGAATCCGGTCAGGAGTCTAAAAATCTTGAGCCAAGCTGAAACCGGTTTGGCTCAGTGGATAGAGCTTCGGTCTGTGGACTGAGGGGTCCCAGGTTCGATTCCGGGCAAGGGCATGTACATTGGTTGCGGGCACATTCCCAGTGGGGGGTGTGCAAGAGGCAGCTGATAGATGATTCTCTCTCATCAATGTTTCCAACTCTCTATCCCTCTCTCTTCCTGTCCGTAAAAAATCAATAAAATATATTTAAAAATAAATAAAAATCTTGAGCCAAATCTAAGTGCCATGCCTCACTTGAGACAAACTAGATAGACTTGATTCCTAACCTTTTGGAGTTCACATTCTAGTTGAGAAGCCAAACTTTTTGCAATCATAATTATGATTGTGACAACTGCTGCAAAAGTAAAGCACAGGATGCAAGACCGGCGGGAGGGAAACAGGGAGGGAGGGAGGGAGGGAAGGAGGGAGAGAGGCCCTGAAGAAGTTCTGGCTGCCTGGGGAGAAGGAGAGCCAGCTCCCAGGGGAGGGCCCAGGGGCACTTTGGAAGAGCTGACGGCCAGTGTCCCCAGGGGAGAGGAGAGATAAGGCTGAGACGACAGGTTCCGGCTGGGCTGTGGGGAGGGCAGGCTTGGCTGGGAATGGGGTCTTCCTCCTGAGTGCATGGAAGCCATTGTCTAAGTAAGGAACATCCTGTAGAAAATGTTTATGAGATATTTGTGTCCAAAGTGACAATTGCTAAACCAAGGTCGCAAATGTTCTGGAGAATAACAATGTGTGTTTTCTTTTGTGCATTTGGATATAGGTGGGAACATGGGAATATTACATGGAGGTGGAAAAGGCCAGGTGGGGATTAGATCGCAGGCTAGTTAAAATCAGGTGCTCTCTGGAGGGTGTTAACTTGGCTTCTCAAAAGTGCAGTGACCTGGATGCTAAGAACAATGAGCAGGCCAGCTGAAACCTTCCACTGGAGAAGTTACAGCCTGAGGTAATGCCCACCGGAGCTGCCCAGTAAGGAACTGATGGCTGTACAGCACCCCCTTCTCATCCACACCACAGATATGTTTGCCAACAACATTTGGCGACCTGAGACCGCCTGTGGTCTACCTTAGTGACAGACGCTGGGAGGGTGAGAGCCCGGGAGGAGGAGATGGAGAGGGAGCTGGCATGGGCCTCTGTGCTTTCTTTTATTCAAGAAAGCAACAAAAGCTGCTGGTGCCTGCAAAGTCAGGATCTGGATTATTATCAACACAGCATCCTCCTGTCTGTATTTGCAAACATTATCCCAGGCAGAAAACGTAAATACTCACTGAGACCCGGACTTTGAACCTTAGGAACACCCAATAAAGTTATAAACAAGCAAAAGCAAAAGGCCTTTCTCCAAATAGCTCAGGGCTTACACCACCCCACCCTGTTACACCTTCTTATGGTCTGAGTTCCAAATTGTGGTTTGGGGAGGGGTTTTCAGCAGTGAAATGAGAAAACTAAAGGGTAATGTATAAATACTTGTCTACACCCAAGTAAATTACCAACAGTTGATTTTCAGGGAAAAATTTAGAGAGTATGTCTTTCCAAATAGTTTCTTGGAGGGTTGGGTAAATTTTTTTCATCTTTTTCAAATACACGTGACAGTTTATTTGGAAAGTCACGGAGGTGGAAGGAAGCCAGCTGGGCTGCATGGACCCAGGAACCAGTGAAGGACCAGGAAGGGCCTTGGAGCCACGGAGAGAGGAAAAGAAAGCGCCTGGTGGAGGAGGGGAAGAGGACAGGCTTGGAGGGGCAGCCGGCGCCCCTCAGAGGAGCGGTGGCCATAGCAGATGGCAGTGCCTTCTTCACATGCCCTCACTTGGTCAGCTCTCAAGTTGATGGTTCTGTATTGGCTTCCTAACCTTCTCTCTTGTCACCAATTTTTACCCTTGAGATGTTAATAACCAAGATCTAATGAAACATTCAGAGCTGGTGTTGAGGGGAAAGGAAGGTGAGAACAGTGTCGTTGGTGGCTGAAGAGGCCACCTAGAAAGACAATAACTGGGAAGGTCTAAGGTTTTTATTCTAATCGCTAAGACTTAGTCTCCTGCCGGGACCGGTTTGGCTCAGTGGATAGAGCGTTGGACTGCGGACTGAAAGGTCCCGGGTTCGATTCCGGACAAGGGCATGTACCTTGGTTGCGGGCACATCCCCAGTAGGGGGTGTGCAAGAGGCAGCTGATCGATGATTCTCTCTCATCGATGTTTCTAACTCTCTATCCCTCTCTCTTCCTTTCTGTGAAAAATCAATAAAATATATTAAAAAAAAAAAAAAAAAAAAAAGACTTAGTGTCCTTTGCACTGATGTTCCTCCAGGGGGTTAAGAGAGAACATTGTTCCTGGAAGCAACCAAGCGCCTGGAATGCCTGGGGAGTTGGGAGCACCCAGCTCTCTTCACTCCGAG